TACAGGATGCTATAGGTTTCCATAGTCACAACCTCTAGTTAAAAGCATTTAACAAAGCTTTCAAACAGAGAAATAAAATTGAAAATTGACTCAAGAAAAGAAAGGTGCAGCAGAGAAATCAGAATCCCTCCCCATTTTACTTACTTTTGTGCACTGGGTTTGGTGTGGGGAAGCTGCAAAGAAGCACAGTGAAGCCGCCACTTTCTTTCAGAGCAACTACAGCAGAGCTAACAGCAATTAATTATAATTAGCTCCTTCTCAGCTAGAGACAATATTTAATTAATTCCTTCCAAGTGCTAGGTGAGTTGGACATTTGCAAAGAAGCGCAGCTGAATTAGTGCTTTGCTTTGATGTCCATAGATGGCTTTAAATTTTTCCCCGTAGCCTAATATTGACCAGCTTTCTTTCTTTTTAACAGCAGCCGGGGTGGGTTGATTAACACAATGGCATTTCCAGTTAAAACTGGGAGAGTGTGGAGAAGAGGATCAGATAACCCCTGATCTCAGCACTGTGTGTATGATTCTTCAACCCAACTCCCCTTAACCCTAAGTTTAGAAGGTAGGCGTATGAATGCTAGTCCTGTGACATACAGGTAAATCCTGTCCTTTTCCAGTGAAAGGGGGAACAAAGGGGAACAATACAAACATTTTATCTGGCTAAGCCTTCAGTCATCTTTTCAATAGATATAAACCATAACAAAATGTCTCTTAAGCCCAAACTAATATATATTTATGTAGAATGTGACACTACAAACATGGCTATCAAGTACAAATGCCAGCATTTTATGAACCAGTACTGCAAAGCTTGACTGTATTATTATCCAAGAAGAGAGCCTTACTTGGTGGTATTTACCATATTTCAAGCTGTCATAAAAATATAGTTTGGCTGTATTGATCCAGTTGTCTGCAGAGACTTCTTGAAAGATCCTTATCCAATGAGTTTCCCACTTTGGCAGTTTATTTTTCATAGAAGGACCTAATGACTGGGTTGTTCCTGTAAGTGCTAATATATGGCATTCTGGTCTGGGCTGTTTGTTGGAATACTAAAAACAAATTGCGCAGAGCATCTACACACAAATCCAGACCAACGATATACTGATGGGTCACTGGAAAACATGGAAGTCAAGGAAAATACAAAGAAGTGAAAAAGAATTAAGTTGGAGTATAGTCTGCCATTTGTGTGAGTACTTGTATTAAAGCTGAGTATGCTTGTGTGTTTACAGTATAAAATGAAAGCATGGCCTGGTGTCAGACCCAAAATTCCAAGACCATGAAAACTAGACACCTGTAACTTGATGGTGTATTTGGGAATTCTTTGTTTTTTTTAAAAATTCATTCATTAATTTTAATTCCATTTAAATACACCCACATATAATTGCTTCCTGATTAACCAGCTGTGCCTTTTAGGTCATTAAAGGTGGTTTGTTACAATCAATTATTGAATAAAGTGGTGTTTAAAAGATCAACAAAGACAAGTAAGTAATCAAGTGGGGACAGGGAGAGGAAACCTACAAAGGGTTTTGATTAGACTATGGCAGTTTATTTTTCATAGAAGGACCTAATGACATAAATGCTTTACTGGGTTTCTGAAAAGTGTCCGTGCTCCACTCATTCTCTCTTGATTTCCCAACCCTGCCATGCTGTCATGAGTCCTGATTTATTTTAGCTCAGCGAACCATTTGGCATTATGATGCAGTCTGTGTTTGAAACATCAAATGCAATTGATAGATGCAGAGCGAGCTTCCAGCCTCTCAGCAGCTTGGCTTCATATTTATGATCAGGGAAGCTGGTGATATTGACAAAGGAGAATTTACTCTTGTCCACCAAACAACTTGGTCAACTTCTATTCTTTGCTTTCTTGAAAAATGATAAGCATTTCTGAAACCCAGCCAAGATGGTGGGGAAGCGCATGAAAGAATATCACAAAATTAATCAAAGAGAAATCCAGGGCTAGGGTTGCTTCCAGATATAGATTTGATTGCACAGCTGTGGTTCTTATGTGCTGTCCAGTCATATCCAACCTATGGTGATTGTAATAAGGTTTTCACAGCATGTGAGATATTTGCATGTGAGTGGTTTCACTAGTGCCACACCCTAGTACGTCTCCACAGCTGAGTGGAAATTTGAACCCAGATCTATTGAGTCCTTGCCCTTCACTCTGTCCACTGCACCATGCTGGGTCTCCATTGTACATTCACAGAATCCAGTGCAGTCCCAGAGCTGGATAGCTCATGGTTTAGGCATCTAGGTGTGGAGCCAAAGATTGGGGGTTCAATTCCCCTTGTGCCTCCCTGACAGAAGCTGGATTCAATGATCCATAGGGTCCCTTCCAGTTCTGCAGTTCTAAGATTATTTTTATAAGTGTGGGTGATCATGGAACAAAGGAAAGGCTAATTGAATTAGAGAGAGAACAAAGGAGTCGACAGGATGTCCGAGCCAGCAGAGCCTACTGGCAATGCCCTGAGGGCTCTTTTTATTGTCTTAGCATGATTACATAGTATGTTATGAGAGAAACAGATAGGATACTAGTTACCTAATCATAAATAGGATTTGCTAAAATAACCCTTTGGTCTTATGCTCTACCTCTAAGTGAAAGGGCAGAAGAGGGGGCCACCCCACCTGCTGGTAGCTGCCGCTTCCTGCCAGAAGTGTATGCACATCACTGAAACAGAATGCAGCTACAACCTTTAGGCAGAAGTTTCCCATAATAAGGCCATAAGCTTGTCTTCTGTTTGTAGGTCTCTTGTCCTTTCCCACCTCTTCTATCCTTGCATTTGCCATGAAAAATCCAGTAAGGACAGACTTGCTGTCATCTGACTGGTAGCATTAGGAGTTTTCAGTCTGGAAGTACCTATGACATCATACTTTAAAAAGGCACATTTTCTTCCTTTTATTTTCTGTCCATGTTTCCCACCCAAGTTTTTTTAAAAACCCATCCATTTTAAATGTTTTGCTTCAAGTGCAAACACATGTGAGGACATATGTATGGCTGTGTTTGTTTTTCTACAATTTATTTATTAATACAGTATTTGCTATTTCATTTATTAAATCATAGGTGACCTGGAGCATGGGGCATCCCACCCACCCCCAAATGTTGGCATGATATGCTTCTTATTCCTGTTCAGACATTGAGCCACCACCATGTTGGACATGTAATCTCCCTGTCCACCAGTTGGTGCTGCAGTTGGTTTGCCACCAATAAAATGCAACATAGAACAGAAACAAAATGCAGCTGCAACACACACATTGACAACACTGATAAAACAACAAATCACTAAACTAGTTGCATGGCAAGCTATAGTTAAGTGGCCATATCTGAACAGTTTATGAGGCCAAAGGCTTTTTGAATTAAAACAGCTTGGTCAGTGTGCAATTATCAGATATTGGCTTAGGAATGCCCCTCTCAGTAAGGAGTTCCAGAAAGTGAGAGCTGTGACCAAGAAGGGCATCTCCTAACTACTCACTAAAGTCTTTCAGGACAGAAATGGGACACTCACCAGTGGTCTTAATGCAGAAGTGTACTTGGTTGGGAGTGGATGGTCTTATGTTAGGGAACACTCTGAATTGTGCTCCCAAACCAATGGGAAGCAAAGCTGCTCTAACATAGCAGTCACGTGCTTTCTATAAACTGACATGCACACTAGTCTGGTTGCAGCAATCTAAACCAACTGGGATTTCCACATGCTTATTAAAGACACTTTGAAGGAATATTCTTTTTTAAAAAACTATACCAATGTAGTACAGCTTGCAGAACAGCTGATGTCATAACAAACGTGTTACTCTATAAGCTGCTAAAGTGCTTTTGGTCATTATCAAGAATTATCAAGAAGTTCCTAGAGCATATCAAGCTTTAACTCCCTATAGAAGCAAATGTGATGAAATTAAGACTGCCATACTTCAGCACATATTGAGAAGACAAGCCTCTTAATAATGCTAGGAAAGGCTGAAGGCAGAGGACCAACTATGAGATGGCTTGGCTCAATAAAACAAGTAAAGGCCTTGGGTTTGCGAGAGCTGAGCAGGGCTCCTAGTGATGGGACATTTTGCAATTAACTCACTCATAGGGTTGCCATAAGCTGGAAGCAACTTGGTGGCACACAGCAACATTATCAAGAATAAGTTTCTAATTTAATTAGGTGTTGGTCCTGGTCCTGGCCATTATTCCTGAAAGAAATGAAGTATTATAAAGGAAAACTTGAGGAGAAACACAAGAACAGAGGAAATTGTAATAAAGGTGGTTGTTACAATGATGACAATGGTGATGACAATGATATAGTTAATTTCTAGAAATTCAGAGTGGCTAACATCTATAATGAAAACAGTTAAAAGTTACAAAAATAACCCATTGCAAACTTCTTATCTATAGTTATCTATAGTAACAAATATTAAACATGCAAATTAATAAATACACTGTATTATTTGATTATTTTTTGTAATGTGTCTGCCGTGTTTTCAAACTATATGATATTCTGATCAATCTTTTTTTCCCTCTCACCAGCCTGATGTTGCCTAGCTTCAGAAACAACACACGTGACATAACCTTACCAGCAACTGCTACCAGACACTTTAATATTCCAGGAAAAAACCTTTACAATGTTTGAATCACTCCTTAGCGGCTGACTAAACCAATGAAGGATTGCCTTATTCAAGAAGCTTGATTAAAGTGCATTAGTAGTTTTCACCAAAATGGATAAAGTACATCTTAATTTGAAGAGTTGAGTTTTAAAAAGGAAATATGTACATATTCTGTTTGGGGGTTGCTGTGACAAAAGTCACAAAACAGAAATGGGGGGATGGAGTAGGATCCCCTCTATCTCCCCTATTTTGGTAATGAATGAATAGGTCTTAGAATGAGCAGATGTAAATCAATTTCAGCAGATGTACCTCTTGACATCTAAACGATCACTTGTACCTACCAAATTCCACTCACCTATTAAAGACACATGAGCTTTGTTCTTCTCTGTGAATTGTCATGATAACACCACTCCAGATGCAAGATACTTAATGTCAAGTAACAATATAATGGTTAATTTTTATTTGCACAGATTAAAAGTATTTCTGCTTGAACTTTATGAATGCAATTTGTTTTATCTCATCTTTACAATAAGTTCCAGAATGCTTGTGAATATATTTCTTTTACCAAGTAATCTACAGGGGGAAATCATCCAATGAATAAGCATATCATTATTATACATCTTTGAAATTACAGGGGGTCACAGAGGTATTGCAGAGTACTTCACAATTCAGTTTTCCTCCCTTTAAGGCAATATATAATTGGTTAAACAATTTGTGTTCAATGCAATAAATGGGAAGCTGGGTATATCATCACCACATTGGATTCAAGTTTCACATTTGGTGAGGCTGTGATGATTGAGATTTAAATTTTCATTTATCCTATGTGTCTCAGCAGAGTGAAGCACCCTCCAGTGACTATTAGGGAAAAAAAGCATATTTTAAAACATTCATGGAAAAGAGCAGGTTGAAACTCAGCCAAATAATCAGCTAGATTTTATTTCATGTAACTATCTGGCAACGGTGGGCATTTCTTAATGTTAGGATGGCAGATGATGACCTTGAATAATTCAGGGTGTGTAGGATATTTAAATACATGTATCTCCTTGACGTTATGAATACTATCTGCTGATTATATTTTCTGCTATCATCTGTGTACTTCCTCATCCAAAGGTCATATTAAGTCAGATATGAACCCAAATCATGTGCACATAAGGGTAGCATACTACTCATGCCACATGGAATTAGCAATGAGCAGAACACTTCCATCTGTGGGCCTGAATGGGAAAATCCTAGCCTCATATACACATCAGGGTCTCTGTGCTTGGGAGAAGTCCCTGTTTTATATCACAGCAATTTAATACTGTCAACCAATCATCTAAATGCTTTCCAAAAATTTGCTTTAACGTTGGCTGAACAAAACATTGTATCACTTTTCGCCAAGCTAGTGTCCTTTAGATAGGTTGTGCTACAGCTCCCATCACCTCACCCAGTGTAAGGAGGATAGGACCTGTAGTCAAAGACATCTGAAAGGCATCAGGCTGAGGAAAGTTTCTGTAGATTTGCATGATATTATGAAAATGCCCTGATATGTATTCTTCTAAATATCCTTTCAAATGTTTCACTAAGTAGTTTCTACATTGAGCCCAGAGCATGGCTTGCCACCATTTTCGGCAGGCGGATTGTTGCATTCTCTTCTTCTTGTCCGTTTCCCCCCAGAAGCTGAAGACCAGCTGGACCAACAACTCCAGTTCCCATCTATTGCAATACCTGAAATAATGAGAGATAAAAGCAGGGTTACCATAGTAATAGCAAGAGTTCCAACAATGGCCAATTTCAGTCCTACTTCAGGTGGCCTTTTTTCCTACTTCGCACAGTTTAATAAACCACTGTAAAACCACAGGCGTACAATATTTCATTTGCACGAGAACAGAAGGATTCATAGGACATTTTTAAAAAGCATTGGTTTTGAACATCACTGGACATAACCTCAAGCATGGCTTGCCTTACATAAGAAAAGCTAGCATGACAACAGTTCTTTTGGTTATTTGAGAATAATGCTAGTATGACTGAAACTGTGGAAAGAAAGGATCCGGCCTTTAATCTCATGACTGAATACTCCCGAATAATACACATCTGTGCCTAATTGTTAGCCTGCTGCTCTAAACCATGAGTGAACAAGTTGTAGCTCATGGCTGTTTTTCTAACACCTCGAGGTCTGAAATGGCAGCCAAAGTGTGAGCAGAGAAAAATGCCAGTTTTTCCTTACATTTATTGGTACACTGCTGAATTTTGGGAGGGCGAGTAGCTTTAAAACAAGCACTTTTTAGAGGAGGTGCTGTGGACTTCAAAACAGAACACCCTGTTGTAGGGTGTGTGTACGTGTAGTCCTCTGTGGGCGGGTGAATGCTGAGGTAACAACAACGCAGCTCCTGGACCTTCAGAGTTGCTCAGCCTGGCTCTGAACTAACACCCAACAATTAACTTCATCTCCATGCCCATGGACTCATAGGGGGAAACCATGAATTCAATAAACTGATATGGAAGTCGCCACTTCAGGAGAGATTATAATTTGCAAGTTACAGATTCTACGAAGTGTACAGGGTAAGCATCAAAATGGTAGGCAGCACAGAAAACCCAGGATTATCCCGCTGGCTTCTATACACAAAGGCACATGTTCTAGGATTGTGATGTGCTTTGAGAAAGTATTTTTAGATGTGGAACAAAAGAAGGGAAATGCTCAATATTAACTACAGCCTTTCTGCAATTGTTTTCTTTTGACAGAGTTCCTTTTTCTTTATATTTTTTAAAGGTTTTTTTTTTGTAATCACTCTTACCAGTCCTTAGTGTCTCCTCACATGCAAGACCCCGATGTCCTAAAGGACAAATGCACTCACAGTGAGTCCCTGCAAAATATAAGAGGTAAGATGTCTTTACTTCTGCCTCCACGTTTCACTGTGTGACATAGTTGCTCTGTGTAATGATTTGAAGTATTGGATAGATTGTTTGCATCTTTCTTATTAACCAGCCAGTCCTTCTGCACTTCCTATGTGCACACTTTGCTTCTCAACTCAGAGGATGGTAAAGATTTTATGCAAATTCCGGACCTATGACCCATTCATTCCCCTCATTCTTGGAGGTGAGAATCTCATAGAGTTTTCAGGTTCCTTGCTAAAGTGTCTCATTGTGTAAAGGCAAACTGAAATGACGGAAATGTGATACATTCTGTTCATCTCTAACAGGCAGTGGAGATGAGATAGAACTGGACCGTACTTCACTGCAAGTGCTTTGCATTGAGAATGCCCTAGATTCAACCCCAGCCATCTCTAATTAATTTTTTAGAAGAAGTAGTCATGTTAGTCTGTGCTAGCATATAAGGCAAAAACAAAGGAAAAATAAAAGCGAAAGAAGACAAAAACATTGTGGGCCCTTAAAGATCAACTGCTACATTTTAATGTGAGCTTTCATGGACAAGCCCTTTTGTTTCTGAGGAAGTGGAGTTGTCTGTGAAAGCTCACATAAAAATATTGCACTTGGTCTTGAAGGCACCATAATGTTTTCTTTTCTTTATCTTTTCTTTTTCTAATTAAAAGGGATCTCCTAAGCTAAGGTGAAAGACCACTGCCTAACACCTTGGAGAGACACTATACTGCTCAGAGCTGACAGTGTGGAACTTGGCTATGTTCTGATATAGTAAAAGCTTATCTGATCCAGTTATTTCCAGGAGAAACTTTGGAAAGCTGCTTACATATTATACTGGGCTTGATGCTGCTCCTTCCCCCGCCCCACCACCACCAATAGACCTTGCTATTGAAAGCTGCTTACATATTATACTGGGCTTGGTGCTGCTCCTTTTTCCCCCCTACCTCACCACCAATAGACCTTGCTATCTCTTTGTGACTAGCCATGTATTTGGGGTGTGTGCATCTCATTTAGATTCCATGCTTGGCAGGGTGTCCATAAGTCTCCCCAACCTATGCAAAGCGTTTCTGACAAGAACTGTCATCTCTTGCTGGCAATGCTTGCCCTGCAATTAACAAAGGCAAAATAAGATACATACAGCATGATCCATATTCATAAAATATCTCTTTTGGCCCTTCAGGCGGATTCATAAGTTCAAGCTGCAAATTTTGGTGTAATTAAAGATTATTAACACACACACACACACCCTTACAGTTAAAGCTATGTCATTTTTAAAGCAAGAATAGCAGAAAATGGGAACAGGAAAAAGTGTCTAATGCAAGTCTCCGATGACGACAAGGATTATGATCTTTAGCAGTTGCAGATGGCATTTCATCTTCCAAGAACTAAGAGAAACACTAACGAATGGCCAGAGAGTAGAGTGAGCATGTGAAGCTCAGCAAAGCTATTTCTGAAAGAGATTTTAAGCAGATTGCAACTGTGTGTTTTATGCATAATTGAGCTAGAAAAGTCTTCTTAAATGTAAATGATTAAGATTACTTTCTCCTTGCCAATGTGGCTTCGTCCCTTATCTTGCTGGGCTGCCTGTAAAGCAATGGTGACATTTAAATTACTAGCCCATTCTATTATATTTTCTTCTTAACAATATTTAATGGGAATAATCAGAAAATGAAGACAGCTGGGGCAACCGACAGTCCATGGTGATCACAGATATACAACAGGACAGACCAGATCTCACCTTTCAGGAAAGGGTTTCCATTACCCTGGCAAGGAGCACAACGACAGCTGCTCGATTCTTGTTGGAACTCCTCCAGGGCACGCCTCATGTTTTGTTTCAGGTTATTCGCATTGGCAAAGGTGCTTGGAGTAATTAACTCATAAAGGGGCTCTACCTGTGGAGGTCAAAAAAAGAGGGAAACTGCTGGCAATATGCTCTGCGTGAAAATAGAAAAACATTTCTGAACTGAGTATGTCAGATCTGGGAAACCATGCTATACGGAGGTTGCAATCAGATGGCTGTCAAGGCATGTCTGATTGCACTGAAAAGGATTCCTTCCATTGGAACAATCTCCCTTAAAGCAATCTATCCATTTGCAGGGGAAACACCCTAGCCCATCTCCCAAAAGCAGTATCCCCTGCATTGTGTAATCACTGGAAATAGATCACACCAGAGTGCTCCACAAGCTATCCAAATCGTGACCTGTTTCCCCATGAGATCACATGCTAAGTAAGCAAATTACTAGTTCCGATAGCTATTGTCTATGATGGCTGGAAGGGCTTCTCTGCGGCTTCAGACAGTCGTCGAGCCTGGACCACTCAGAAACCTTTCACGTGTAACATCTCTAGCACTGAGCAGTAGCTCCTTGCTTGCTTCCTTCCTTCTTTTCCCATATTAATGAGCTTCAGCTACACCCTGCCTTTCCAAGAAGTTAACACTCCACTGTATTCGTGAAGGCTTTCACGGCCGGGATCTAATGGTTGTTGTTTTTCGGGCTCTTTGGCCGTGTTCTGAAGGTTGTTCTTCCTAACGTTTCGCCAGTCTCTGTGGCCGGCATCTTCAGAGGACAGCACAGAGTGTGCTATGTGAAATGTTAGGAAGAACAACCTTCAGAACACGGCCAAAGAGCCCGAAAAACCCACAACAACCATAACACTCCACTCCTTCTGTCTTGCAAGCATCCTGCAATATAGCTTGGGCTGAGACAGCAGGAAGAGAGAGAGAGTTGTAGCACACATTCACATGCCTCTACTCTAGAACTTCACCACAAACCTGGAAGTGTGAAAAGCAGGCGAAATTTTTTTTGTCAGAGGCCATTTCCCTGTACCCAGAAACCCATCACAGGTTATACCAGACCCCAAAGTGCAGCCTCTCCTAAGACAAACAGGACTTCTAGGCTTTGAGATTCTCTTTTCAAGGACTGGAGGGGGGGGTTGGAGGGTTGGGAGTGGCACTCCCAGATTTCATTGTGATCTATTCAAAATATGATCAAGCAACACTTAATCTTTTATGGCTCAGGTCAAGATTTAGCTGTGCTTAGACTAAACCCAACTGAAACAAAGTCATATTTAGACCAGACCCCACCAGAACCACTGAGCCTTATGTCCCATTTATTTCATTGTGTTCTAACTATGACTAAAGCAGGATCAAAGCCAAACACCACCATCATAATCTTTCCTGCTTACACAATCATGGAAGTTGGTCAGATGTTGGCCTCTCAGGGATCCCAAGACATTTCAGCAGAAGGGGTCTGAGGAAACCCCAAGCTGCCAAAAAAAGAAACCCATGCTCTTTGGAAAATCTCTCCTGAGATCAAGAGGGATGCTTCTGAACAGGGTGGACTCTAGAATGGAAGGAGGAGTTGAGGAAAATTAAGTGGAGGAACCTTCTGATACCAAAGCTACCATTCTTGAAAGATACCTACTCCTGGTTTTCAGCCATGACCCCTTTCTCTCTCTACCATGGCCCAGTTCTATATGATTCCCCCTGTTCTCAGGTGGTATTTCACAAACATTTCTGTAAAACCAAGCCTTAGAAGCTGATGCAAAATCTTCCCATTGACTTTCAGGTGGCAAGTAAAGACATTTTTCCCCATCTTGGCTGCATCCAAGGTTTTACATATACAGTAATGAAAACCAAAGAACTGTATTCTGAAACTGTAACACATTTTCATCTTGGCTGCATCCAAGGTTTTACATATAATGAAAACCAAAGAACTGTATTTCTGAAACTGTAACACGTTTTTACAGGCTCTTTCCTCCCAGCCAATTTGGCTGTTAGTTGATACACTGTGGGGTGTGCTGATTTGCTTTACAGTACATCACCTTCATTTGGATGATTTCAGGGTTGTACTGCACTGCTTCTCCCCACTGTTGCATCAGCTCTGGAGTTGGCAGGCTTTTGGCAGCAAGCGTTGTAATCGGTTCACTCGCGCCTCCACGGACGAGAGCAACAAAGTCGTCCACAAATTTCCTTTCAAATGTGTTCTCTGTAAAAAGTTGATCAAGCCATAGTTTCAAAACTTGCATGAGTTTACTTAGGCATGTTTACCCTTTGACCATCATACATCATAAAATAACCTGGATGTGTGAATGGACCACCTGCTAGTATAACGCTTGAGAATAAATGTGCTGGTATAGTTGTTGGATTAGAATTGAGGCAACTTAAGGCTTAGTCATTCACTAAAATATAAGAACTATGGAAGAAAAATCTCAGAATGACAGTAATTGTATATATATTCTTTTTTATTATCTCATGGGATCTGACAGTGCAGAGTCAAAATATGTAATAATACAAGAAGAAACACACAGATGCATGCACATGCGTGCATGTGTGTGTGTGTGTGTGTGTGTGTGTGCGCGCGCGCAACACACACACACACACACACACACACACACACACACACACACACACACACACACACACACACAAATCATTGGCATTCTAAGGTGTTTCCTCCATGGCTAATCCCTATTGAATCGTGAAACTCACTGGATGGCCTTTGGCCAATCAGTCTTTATCTCTCCCTGGCCTTCCTCAGTTGCCAGCTTGTACTCACTGATGCTAAAAACAGAATACATATATAGCTAAGAAGAACAAGCACTGAGACAGCTGCCACCACCACAACAGAGTGCACTCAGACCCTCTAATAGGTGGTGTTTCTCAAGGCATTTGAGAAAGTTAAGAAAGGATAATGAACTCTCCCCATATCTTTCCTGTTTTCCGAGATGTCATTCCCTGCTATATAGTTATGGGTATAGGAGAACACAGCAAATGTGGGTTGGAGGTGTAATGTGGCGGGAGGGGGAGCTATTGTCACTTCTTCATGGCTGAAACTACTCCCACAATGAGGCCTGAAGTCCATTCCAGAAACTCTCTTTCAAGTTCTTTTCTACAGTGATGAGCAGGAGTATAGCTCTTAGTATTGAGTACTGGGGTATTGAGATGAGGTCCCACTTCCATGGCTATCTACAGGAAGCAGCAATTCCACCCTCCCTTTCCCCAATCCTATACCTAGCATTTTTTAAATATGTCAACAGGTAAAAACTACGGTTAGATCAACAATATGTGCATGTATGTATTATATGCTGTTAAGTCACATCCAGCTCATTGCTACCCTATAGTTTGCACTCACATCTTCTGAGTCCTAGTCTGCCATTTTACCTGCTACACCACACTCACTCTCTCAGCAATGCACAGGTGCCATTAATAGTCTTGACCTCCCTCCCCCATTATTTCTGTGGACGCCCTTGGCCATTTCTATCACTTCACATATTAATAGGACATAGTTCTGAGTAGGCATGAACATGTGCTAAGGCATATTCTCAGGTAAATTGGAAGAGAACCACAACCCTGGTTTTCTATGCCAGCTATCCCAAACTGCTACACTCCAGACATTTTGTATCACAACTACAGTGCCCATCATCTATAATTCCCATGCATCCCAATAAATATTGTCATCTCAAGGCACAGAGCTTTTGAGATGATGCTGTAGATCTTGTTCATCTCTATAGTGGTCCATTATCAAGTCCATATTAGACATAATTTGTTTTCAACTGAGTTGTTTAGCCTGTTGATAAACCATGAATGCTCCTCCTACTGCTTTCCTTCCTGCCTTCTTTCTTTGACATCATTCTCATATTAAGCACCAACAGTTGTTTTCCTACTGACATAACGATCATGGAAAGATTATAGTGATTTATCCTTACTTTCTAAACTTTAGCCCAGTGAATTTGGAAACTGCACTATACTTTATGAAACCTAACATCTACAATTAATTGTTAATCAACATGTAAATTAACTTTTACTCTATTTTTTACTTTTCCAGACAAATATTTTGTTTATTACAAAACATAACATGCAGAGGCATTGTTGATATAATTCATCTGCCACAGGCTTACCTCCAATTTCCTTTAAAAGGGCAGCACAGCTTCCCCCTGATAATCCAGCTGACACATAAATTCCCTTAATATTTACACCAAGTTTAAGGCCAGCTTGGGTACAAGATTGGACATCACTTAAAGAGTAACCTTTAAAAACAGAACAAATATTTATTAAAATCAATATAAGCATGGATTCAAGCTTCCCACAGCACTAGAAATGCTAATTTCTTCCAGTCACCACAGAAAATTGGGTGATGATTCTGCATGAAGGCAGGTGACCTCAGCTCATAGAGGGATATCTCTTTTCAAGTCATAATATTCGAGTCAGCGAAAATCCCCATCCTGTGCCATCAGAGCATGAAAAATTACTCTTTCGGACAATAACTTCCACAATCCTGGCTGGGTTATCCTTGGAGCAGTGGTTCAAAAATTAGGATACTTTCCAAACTCTGAGCAGTATGGATCATCGCCAGGATTAGAGGGACAGTTGTGCTGGTCTATCTTGGAATAAGAATTAGGTGATTATCAGGAACTATCCATATTGTAATCATTTTTCTATGAACCTGTGTCTAATACCAGAGGTATAGCTTATAGCTTTATTCTAGAGAAAGGTAGACTGGAATAAAAGATCTATAGAGCTTGAGAAGGTGAGCAATGAGTTCTAAAATGTTCCTGGAGGATCTTTTAAAACCCATGCTGTATTCTCCAAGTGAGAAAACACATTGGCTGACACTGTCAGATGTTCTGCACAGAGAGATATTTCTAGTTTTTCTCTGCTCAGCAGTAGCCCTTACAGATCCTCAAAAGTCCTCAAGTTTGGAAAGATTCTGAAAGTTGTAGTCCAAAAAAAGAGGGGTGGGTGGGGAAAAAACATTCCAATTCTGAAAAGTCCCTCATGAGGAACAAGAGATTTTTAACAACAAAAGCGACAAAATAGTTGTCCCACCAATATCCTATGCTGAAAAGTGTTTTGTGTGTGCACATAATCTTACCTGGGTCCCAGTCTTTACATGTCATTCAAAGGGTCCAAAAGCCGTTCTACAGGCTGTTTGTCAACCTCCCTTCGTCAATGGGTATATGAGAAACTAAGGCTATTGATTAACAGCCCAGAGCTCTCTTTGTTCTACACAGTGAACACTAGCCCTTGTGAAAGCACCATCCATCAAACAGTATTCTGAAAGTTGTAGTCCAAAAAAAGAGGGGTGGGTGGGGAAAAAACATTCCAATTCTGAAAAGTCCCTCATGAGGAACAAGAGATTTTTAACAACAAAAGCGACAAAATAGTTGTCCCACCAATATCCTATGCTGAAAAGTGTTTTGTGTGTGCACATAATCTTACCTGGGTCCCAGTCTTTACATGTCATTCAAAGGGTCCAAAAGCCGTTCTACAGGCTGTTTGTCAACCTCCCTTCGTCAATGGGTATATGAGAAACTAAGGCTATTGATTAACAGCCCAGAGCTCTCTTTGTTCTACACAGTGAACACTAGCCCTTGTGAAAGCACCATCCATCAAACAGTAAGAGTAGTGTCAGATAGGAGAGCCATCCCAGTAAATTACTTGCTGTTGAGTTGGTTAGTTTTTTTTAAAATAAAGATTCCTACAAGCTGGATGCATACAGAAAGGAAAAGGAGATTAACTGTTGGGAGCCTTGGAGAGCTTGCAGGAAATTAAGGTGCATGTTTGCTTTTTGCAAACGATTTGACCACATCATCGCCCCAGGGAAATGTCTGCAGGTCATTCACGTGATTGTCAGAAGTCTCTAAATCACCATAATCTTTAAGGATGAGCAGAAGAAATATTCATGCAAGAGAAAGAATGGATTAAATAATGTAAATATTTCTCATGACTTCATGCCCAAATAAAGAATATTGCTTCAAAATATAATCCTGTATTATCATCCAGATTCCTTCAATTAAAAAAATTGCCTGTTGTTTCCCCAAACATAGCATCATGCACAATATCATAGGGTTTAACTGGTTAAGATAATACACCAGCGTAACATTCTCTCATTGATCGGCAACCACCTTTGCCCACTTACCTGCTTTCTGAAGCTCTTGGCTATTCAAGATCAAGGTATATTCATAAACTCCACCAAGAGTTGCCTCCTTGATGTAATGTGTTCCATAGTCTCTGAAGAGCTCTCGATATTCCCCATAGCTGTACTCTAAGGGCAATTGGAGAACTCTCTGAAAGAACTCGTAGTGGAGCATCAGGTTCTGATTCTTCAGCTTATACTGTGCCACTTCCAGCTCAGAGCGGGCATGGATAAATTTGCTAGACTGTATTAAAATGAAAGTGTTAAAAGAAAAGCAGTGGTATCCTTGTGAAATGTTCTACTTTAAACACTTTGATATGCACATACATATCTACATACGTATCTTCAGAGCTACGTTGCTGTTTGCACCAAATGCACATTATAAATATCATCATAGGCATCCTTCAGTCTTGAGAGACTATGGTGACATGCTCTGAATTCAAGAGTGTCCTCTCCAGAGCATGAAGCCCGGTAAAGTAATATGGAGGATAGGCAATTACCCAAGCAGCAAATCCCCCCTCGCCACGTTGCTGAAATGGTCCAATGGAAAGGCAAGAGCCAATACAACTGATTCCAGCAATGTCGCAGGAGTTGGCAGAACGACACGAGCTGCCTTTGGGACTCCAGCTCCGGATTTTGCCTCTAGGTTAACTCCTGAAGCCTTTTCCATGAGTGGATATAGCCACAAGGCAGTGGAGGTTTGAAATCGGAGTTTTCCTTCTCCTAGATGAGCTGCCTTCCATGGCTGACGAGCCCCACCTACCCGGCGACATTATAAATATATCAATGTACATTAACCCAGTTCAGGTGTTACAACTTTGGAGATGTGAGGAGAGGGATTGTAATAGCTCCATCTTCTCCTCTTGTGTCCATTTCCCTCTAAAAGCACATGCTGGGTGGGGTGACTTTGTCTCATCTCTCCCCCGTGAAATGTTAATCTCTTGTTTTCCATGATTTAAAATCATGGAAAGTCTTCAGAAACAAAGGAGGCTTTCCTCTTCATGTCATCTTCCATGAGCAGGATGTGTTGTCTACCTATTCAAACTTTATTATTATGACCTTTTAAAAACTCTGATTTCTCATGTAATCAAGAATGTGCAGGTTATTCTGCTCATATAATTTGGGAGTTTTCAATAACTTCTAATGAGAAATGCAGTTCCAATGTTTCCATTTAAATAGGATGGTGAGGATAAAATGGCTAAACAGAGGTTGTTTTACTCTGAACATATCATGAGAAGACAAGACTTCCTGGAAAAGACAATAATACTAGGAAATATGATAGACAACAATGTAAAATGAAAGACAAAAGACGAGGTGGACTGGGCTAACAAAAGACCATGGTCTTTAGTTTGCAAGATTTGAGCAGGTTTGCTAAGGATAGGACCATTAATCAAATGGGGTTGTCATACACGGGAAGTAACTTTATGGAACACACAAAAAACTGAATTGTGTTCTGAGTTAAAGGAACACCTATATTTTTATGGATAACTTGTAGGAATTATAGTAATGCTGCAAGTATTTCTTGCCATGTGCACTGCTCTCAGCATAAAATAATTTATTGGATTCTTCTGCTTTCTCAAGGCAAAATGGCCTGCTTGTGTCTTATGATTAAACCACTGAAGACCTGTGAGCAGTTTTCATTATATATTACTGTCATGACTGCCTTGCAGTTGAACAGTTTGGTTTCTTCACTTCCGCTGCCGTATCCTGAACTGACAGCACCTATCTTGTTCCTTCACCGGTCGAACGTTGGCACAGCCCTGGATGTTCATCCTGACAACCATTTGGGGGTTCCAAGGGCAAGATGGCAGCCATAAAAGATGCTACCTTTGAAAAAGTAGATTCTTAAGCATCCATGGCAGGCAAGACATAGGGCGTTTCCATCAAATGCCTATCCCATAATATCCACACAAAGGCGCATGTAATTCACTGCAGACTGTCTTCACATCTTTTGCCACACAGATCAGCAATTTAGCCTGCTCAGATCCTGTCAGTTCTTTTATAAATTTTGGATTTCTTGCTTCAATAGACAAAATCCAAAGAAAAAAAAGAACAACAAAAACAAAAATTAAAACTAAAAAAAAACACCCAAACCTGTGGCTCCTTAAAGACCTTTATATTTTAATGTGAGCTTTTGTGGATCAAATCCACTTCCAGTAGGCATCACCTTACGCTCATTTGCATTGGATCTCACTTGCCATTTTAATATCCCTTCCACCAGTTCTGATGGATAGTTTTGAAGCTTTTTCTAATCTATCTCTGTTCTAATCTCCTAAAATAGCTTGACATCATCAGCCAAAAAGACTACCACTTTACCCCCTCTAACCTCAGTTCATGGATTTTTATTTTTTTATGACTGTGAGGCTGCACAGCCCTCCCTTGTGAGAACTAATCATTTGCCCCTACCCAGAGGAATAAGCCCTCTTTGGGCAACAGAAAGAGGATAAAATACTCTACTGTAGAGGGGAGCACTCTAGCTCCATCTTCTTTGGCATCACTTTTGTTGTCCTCTTGTATATGGAGGGAAGGGGTGATGGGTTTAAATGAAAAAAAAAACTCTACTATCCTTGGGGGGTTGTTTACCTGAGCCAGAATTCTGATATTTCTGACTCATGTAGAGACGGCCCCAGTGGCTAGCAGAAGCTGCTGGTTTTCAGGCTCATCGTCCTCTGTGGTTAGATGGGTAGCAGGAGTGACATCAAGGGGGCAGGACCCATACATTCTCCTTCGATACATGACTTATCCTACAGAGATCCTGACACCTACAAAGGGTTGTTGTCCTTGTGAGTGCAACACATTTTCCTCCTTAAAATAAGTCTAGAATGAAGCAGAAGCATGTTTACCGTTGAGGAGAAACGCTTTGTCCTTTCAACAAATTTCTTGTATCTCGTGTCATCCTGACTATAACCAAATTCAAATATCCCGGGTATTTTTATTCCAATGCTGAAGCTTTGTTGTTTTGATTTGGCCTTGGAGACGTTCTCTTCAAAACTGGAATATGATTCATATTCGTTCGATGTAAATTCATATTTGCCTTTGGTCTAAACAAAAAAAAGGAAAAAAAGATTTTTTTTTCCTTTGCATCAAAATTTCATATCAGGAACAGGTCGGGACCAAATAAATTTGAAGAGGATATAGAGTGCATCAATGGAACTAGCTGACTGTTGCTGGTGTTAGCCGTCACCGCCCCCCCCCCACTCCTACCTCCACTGTCACCATGCTATGCATGGAACGTAGGTGAACAAGGGATTAAAAAAAGGACAAAAGACATGCTCTCAACAGCATATGTAAAACTGAACATGACTAAACCTAGGAAATTTCACTTCTGGCTGAATTTTGATCAATTCTGACTGCTTTAAAATGTGTTCAATAATATCACTACCGTGCTTTAGAAATTGGTAACGGCCTCAGATGTTTTTGGGCCCTGTGGGTTTTGCTCATGGATGCAGGGCATCATGTTTTTGATTTTGGTGTTTTTTTGTGTTTGTAATTCTTCATAAGCACTTGTGGTCTGGAACACATTTTAGTAAGTATGCATAAGGTTAATTGTCTCAGTGACATAAATACTAGAGAACTATGTATTGCTTCTTCATCTATAGAAGTTAGCAGCTTCTGAGGATCCAGGATCCATTTTAACCTTCTTTGGGCCATCTTAGGCTGCCTTCCAGATCCCTGCTAATGCTGGGTGCCTAACATGGCAAGCCATTCCCTCAGAAGCCTCTAGGGAGCATGATTTGACCTCTACATATAATTTCACTGTCTGTAGGTCTCCCCTTCTCAACCCCCGTGGGCCAGAAGATTTCTTTTTTAGCAACAGGAAGTGACAGATCATGTCACAAATCTCAAATGCAAATACAACTCTTTGATACATACCTCAGCCAAATAACTTTCCACATTGAATGGTTTTCTAAAGCTAGTGTCTGCTATATACTGGGGAGCACATGATCCAGCATAATATGTATGGTCAAGAACCAATCCTTCCAGATGGTTTGTGAAAATATTTAACCTGGGGAAAAAGAGACAGTGTTGACACATTAGTTAATAATTCTGTACAAAGTACATTATATATTTTTGTTTTTTGTTTTGGCTAACAAATTTCAGTTTTTTAAATTGGGCATTCCATTTTCTATATGAACTAATGAAAGTCCATAAAGTCATGTAAAATAAGGGTTGAATAAGCTAAAAAATAATCCCATTTGAACCAATGGAGTTTATGGAGAAATTGACTTGCCAAATTCTTACTGATTCAATGGGACTACTCTAGTGTGACCTATTATGCTAAGCAACATAATTTTAGCTATTAGGTTAGAGGAACCTCTAATATTGTGAATTAGTGCTGTGCCCTAATGGGGTGTTATACAAATAACAGAAATAAATAAATAATAATAATAACTATTATCCCTGATGTTTCTCTATTCCTGTGCATTTGTTGGGCTACAACTGGTTGATTTTTAAATATCAGTCGTATGAGAACTGATTATCCCCAAATTTGTTCTTTTGCGGTGGAGACATGTTTTATATTACATATTAGTGCTCACTTTCATCCATTTTAATTGTAAGATGCCTTGAGTCTCTAGGAAAAAGCAAATAGGGAACTTTTCATAATAGTAGTAATCAGGGAGGGCTCCAAATAGTGCAATTTCTTCAATTTAGTACACAAACTATTAGCATACACACACCATCAAAATGGTGAAATGATACCAAGTGAACTGAATAAAGTTGAATGAGACTATGTGTGCCCACACACATGTGCAAAATTCTATATCTCAGTAACGGGGGAGGGGATGTAAGCAACAAGATGGAGAATCTGGGCACAAAAAGAAGGGATCACATCCCCTGATATACACAAAAAAGTGCTTTGTAGTTTAGTTCTAAGGATCATGAATGCCTATTGGGGGAGGACATGCATAATTATTATGATGCCTAATTTGAAAATGAATGGATAAGATTTTAGAGCTCTAGGAGAAACTAAACAAACATTTCATTTAGGACATGAAATTGAGAAGATGTATGTTTGTTTGTTTGTTCGTTCATTCATTCATTTTGTGAAACTGATACTGTTCACAGTGCCTTGTGCAAAAAGAAAGCATATAATATGCCAGACTCCATTATTTGGGATACTGTAAGGCAGTGGTTCTTAACCTTTGTTACTCGGATGCTTTTGAACTGCAACTCCCAGAAACCCCAGTCAGGACAGCTGGTGGTGAAGGCTTCTGGGAGTTGCAGTCCAAAACTCCTGAGTAACCCAAGGTTAAGAAGCAGTGCTGTAGAGGATATTCTCCTGGTGGTGTGGAAGTGTCACTTGGGGTAGCCCACTACCTTTATGGTGCATTCACATTTTGTGGGATCAAATAAATTATATAGCCTATTCACAGAGCAACTTATAGAAAAAGGAACTAGGTATAAGTTCCACACAATGAAAAACACACCTGATAGGGATAACTGCAAAATCACTGTCCGTTTTTCAGTTACTAAAGAATACATTTGGCAAAATATCACACTTTAACCTTCTTAACACAGCTGGTATCAGTTTTGGTCCCGGCTCAAGTAGTATATCCCCACACGGAGTGAAAGAATGAAAGTAAAACTGAACAATGAATGAAGAAGCCTGTGGCTATGGCTGTCTCAAAGTGTAGCCATACTGCACAGGTTTAATATACTATGAGATCCTGTTATTGGTAGTTTGGTAAAGAGTTCAATTTGGCAGATGATACCACGCTGATGGCAAAAATGAAGAGGAATTAAAGAACCTTGTAATGAGGGTGAAAGAGGAGAGGGCAAAAAACAGTCTGAAGCTCAACAACAACAACAACAAAACACTAAGATCATGGCCGCTGGTCCCATCTCCTCCTGGCAAATAGAAGGGGAAGATATGGAGGCAGTGACAGATTTTACTTTCCTGGGATCCATGATCACTGCAGATGGTGACAGCAGGACAGATCCTGAAGCTGAGGCTCCAGTACTTTGGCCATCTCATGAGATGAGAAGACTCCCTGGAAAAGACCCTGATGTTGGGAAGTATGAAGGCAAGAGGAGAAGGGAATGACAGAGGATGATATGTTTAGATAGTGTCATCGAAGCTACCAACGTCAATTTGACCAAACTCCGGGAGGCAGTGAAAGATAGGCGGGCCTGGCCTACTCTGGTGCATGGGATCACGAAGAGTCAGACACGACTTAACAATTAAACAACTAAGAGTTCAATTCCCCATTGTGCATCCCAGAAGACTCAGCCTGTGTAGCCTTGGGCAAGCTGCATAGTCCCAGGGTATCCCCAGAAGAAGGGAACTGTAAACTATTTCTGAGTACTCTGTACCTGGGAAACCCTGAAAAGGATTTCCATAAGCTAGAATTGACTTTACGGCACATGATTATTATTAAAATACTTTAGAATTCTCTGCTAGACAGCTCTGAAATTTGGAGGACAGCACCAGGGCTCTCTAGAAGAAATTTCTAGGTGTTTCATCAAACTACATATCACAAAAATCTGTAGGATACAGTCACATCAAATGGTATCACACTGCTATAGTTGTATAACATAGATGCACTCTTAGATTAGAGAGCAGCTGAGGATCTAGGCCTGGGTCAGTGATGGTAGCTCCGTAAGAATTGTGGTGTCATGAAAACTGGTTGACTTAGTGTTTGAGAAGGGCTGGTGGCTTTTGTTTTCAGGGAGTGCCTGATACCACAGGCTACCCTGCTAGAAGCCTAATTGTCAAGTGTCTTAGTATCCACATATTTGTCTTGACTCATATGGTCAGAAGGCTTGGTGGTGGTGGGAGTAGAACTTTTTCCCCACAGTTTCCAAAGAGTCCTGCTTTGATCTCATTTGCGTCAGCATATCTAAACTGACTATCAACCTGCTTTGAGTCTCTATTGCTTCAGCGTATCTAACCCGGTTTCAGTCAAAAGACTGAATTTCAAAATCATCCAGTAATACAATTAATAACATGACTGGAGAAAATGATGTTCATGCAACCTTATAGAACCATATAAATCTTGTTCTCTGTCATATCACTGTATTTTATCTGATCACAGGCTTAACTGTTTACTCATCACAATTTAGCATTTATTTATTTATTTTTGCTGGGATGTTAAGAATTATTACAGGAATTACTAAACATTTGTTTCAAAGCAGAACGAGAACTGTTGAGTTCTCATCCTGATCTGGAATTATATTACTGAGCAACTGCGTTTTCAAAGATATATGATGGATAACTCTATATAATTATTCTATATTAGAATTATTCTATAGGACTCTTGCAGAGCCTACTAAAGGAAGAGCAGCTTCCAAGTAAACCAACACTTCTATTACAGGGAACTCAAAGTGGAGAGTGAATGTCTGGGTGGCAGGGCTCCCTACTCCACCACCAACACCTCTCCATAGCCCTCTACACCATCTAAAAATCAGCTCTGGCTGGTTTTATAAACTTTACAAGTGAACCCAACTATCTCATTGGAAAATGTGAAAAAAGTCCTCATGTTGAATCAGAAGGATTGCTTACTGTCGATGTACAAGTCAACATTTGCCAGCTGGAACCAGGAACTAGATTTAGATCTTAGCATTTAGGAGCAGCTCTTATGGTATGTGTGACATGCAGACCTATGTGAAACTGATGTGAAAGGAACTTGCCTTGGGATGAATCCTGCTCCATGATCACATGGAGGCACTTACCCACTTGCTAACATCTGTATCCCCCAGTATTGTTCTGTGGGCTGGCTGCACCTCCCATAAACCTTCTTACAGTTTCTTTCATCTGATTGATCTCCACAGTCATCCTCTCCATTACAAAGCAGCCTCCGATTAATGCATCTTCCTACAACATAGAATGGGAGTACAGCAATTGATAGTTAATCTGATATCAGCTTTCAAGTCAATAAACACAATTTCATGCCCTGTCCCCTTAAAATGTGTCAATTCTACCAATTTATTTTGGCTTCCTATGGAAAGCTCTTGCCTGGCTGTTATCTTTATGCAACCACATTAGATAACTTACATATATGCACACAGTTGATTAGAAATAATCAACAATGTGTCATATTTTTGTAGCATCCTTCTAACTCTGAGTCACATTTATAAACTGAGGCAAATTGCATTGCGCTTCTTACATGAGACTGGCCAGAAATTGTCACTAGTAAAAGAACAGAGAAATATTGTATTTGCTATCAGTGCAACATGTAAGAAATGCATAATCAAGTCATCTAGTTAATTATAGAGGTCTGTATACTGAAGAACTTTATTAGTAATTTGAAAGGATGATGTTACTGTGCTTGGGTGTCATACTGAAAAGCCTGAAAATGTGCTGTTCATAACAAAAGGACAGCCATGCTGGATCAGACTAAGGGCTTGTGTAGTTTAGCATTCTGATCCAGAATGGCCAGCAATATGACTTACACATCATGAATTTGTCTACCATAATTCCCCATTTAAAACTGTCCAGTCTCATCATTACATCTTAGTGTAGAAGGGTCCATAATTTAGTGATGCAGTGTTTACAGAGACACTTTGCTTTATCTGCTATGAATCACGATCATGATGGCCTTATTAAAATATGACAATAAATTTTATCTTGGGCTGGATAGATCAGTGAGATAGGTACCTGGCTATGGAACCAGAGGTTGGGAGTCCAATTCCCCGCAGTACCTCCACAGAGAAGAACTAGCCTGTGTGGCCTTGGGCAAGCTGCACAGCACCAGGGTGTCCCCAGAAGAAGGGAATGGTAAACCTTTTCTGAGTACTGTCTACCTAGAGCAGTGGTTCTTAACCTTTGTTACTCGGATGCTTTTGAACTGCAACTCCCAGAAACCCCAGTCAGGACAGCTGGTGGTGAAGGCTTCTGGGAGTTGCAGTCCAAAACTCCTGAGTAACCCAAGGTTAAGAACCAGTGATCTATAGCAGTGGTTCTTAACCTTTGTTACTCGGATGCTTTTGAACTGCAACTCCCAGAAACCCCAGTCAGGACAGCTGGTGGTGAAGGCTTCTGGGAGTTGCAGTCCAAAACTCCTGAGTAACTCAAGGTTAAGAACCAGTTACCTAGAGGACTCTGAAAAGACTCACCATAAGTCAGAATTGATTTGATGGCATATGATTATTATTTTAAACTATATCTCACTCTGCTACAATCTTTTGATGTGGTTGCAAGGAGGAAATTTAGCCTTTTAAATTAATCTCAGTTTAGTATTATCTCCAAACATAGGGATATCCAGTAGGCTGTGGTGGACAGAGTAATAGATTAGGACTCAGGAGGCCTGGGTTCAAATCCCTGATCAGCCATGGAAGCTCACTAGGGGTGTGGAACTGGTAAAACGACTCCTTAAATATATCATTTGCCTTAAAAGCTCTGTTAGGGTTGCCCTAAGTCAGTTCCGAGCTTTCTGTGTTCAATAAATCTTGACTATGTCTTTCACACTTCTCTGTGCCTCTGTAATCTGAATGTAGAAGTTGAAGGCAGTTTAATAGGCCAAGCCTCAGTGGATTTGGTCTGACTTCAGTGGCGCTGTGGGCTAAACCGCAGAAGCCTGTGCTGCAGGGTCAGAAGACCAGTAGTCGTAAGATCGAATCCACGCGACGGAGTGAGCTCTCGTCGCTTGTCCCAGCTCCCACCAACCTAGTGGTTCGAAAGCATGCAAATGCAAGTAGATCAATAGGGACCACCTTGGTGGGAAGGTAACAGCATTCCGTGTCTAAGTCGCACTGGCCACGTGACCACGGAAGATTGTCTTTGGACAAAACGCTGGCTCTATGGCTTGGAAACGGGGATGAGCACCGCCCCCTAGAGTCGAACACGACTCGACAAAAAGAAATTGTCAAGGGGAACCTTTAAAAAAAAAGGATGGTCATATCTGACATGAGAGAAAATACATGACCTTTATTTTGTCTATCTAGACCTTTCAAAATGAACCCATAAGGAGCATTAAGAACAAGTACATTCCTGTAAAAGAAAGAAAGAAAGAAGAAAGAAAGAAAGAAAGAAAGAAAGAAAGAAAGAGAGAGAGAGAGAAAGAAAGAAAGAAAGAAAGAAAGAAAGAAAGAAAGAAAGAAAGAAAGAAAGAAAGAAAGAAAGAAAGAAAGAAAAAGAAAGAAAGAAAGAAAGAAATATGGTAGTTATTATTTTTAAAAAATCTACTATGAAACAATGTACAGTAAGTGTTTTGTTGTGAGAAATCAAGTAGTGTAAATGCTGTATTTGCATTCCCTGTATTACAATCAATCTGGATTCAATTGATATGAGTTTAGGCACTGGGTGTCTGGTAGGATAAATGATTCTCCTATTTACTCACCTGTGCCACATACAAAGCCTTCACATCTGACTGTGTTTCTGCAAGGTCTGTTTGGAATGCAGTCTACAGTTTCTTTGTCAGGATAATTGCACGGGTCACCGCCAAACTGAGAAGGTCGTTCCACTGTGGCAAACCTATACTGTAACAGAATAGATGTCGTTAATTTCAGAATTCCTACATGAAAAGATATGTATCACAGATTTGTATAGTTCTGTATTTAATGATTGTGTCAAACAGCTATAGGAAATATCAGATGTATAGCTCTATTCTACCCAGAGCTTAATCTTGGAACTGCAGAGCTGGAAGGGGCCCTATGGATCATCAAGTCCAGCCCCATGTCAAGGAGGCACCGTGGGGGACTGAACTCTCAGTCTCTGGCTCCGAAGCCAGATACCAAAGCTATGAGCTATCCAGCAGTTTTCTAAGAAAACATAGTTTTATAACAGCACACTAAACACAGACTAGCATGGCTAGTCAAAACATGCAGTTTCTGTGTCCAGTTGAGGCTCAGAGAAAATGTCCCATAATGATCCGCACCAGTACCGAGTAGCCATCTTCCTCTATTCTTGCATTGGATCAAACTGTCCACAGCTGGAGAGTCATTAAATATTTGGTTTCAGCATGTAGACTACAATAAAGTCTGCTGGGACAGGACATGGACCAGCAGACTTAATTGAAGATGGGAGGATGTGGTCTTTCAGTAAACTTGCACTGCTAAAGTGGCTCCTAAGGGTAAATTGTCTAGGGAAGATCCTAGTCATCTTGATGGTACATATTTCTTGGTAGGCTAGTTTAGTGATGGAATTAATCTGGGAAGCCAAGATTCCTCCAACTTCTTCCACTGGCGGCAACATCTACAGTAGTTGTTACAGACTGATTGCCAAGTCAGCAACACTCCACTAGATTGGTTTTCCGTGCTCAGTGGGTGACGTCTGTGTTTCTTCCCAGCTGTCTGTTCCTATGGCTGTTCTGTGAGTCCTATGTCAACTCTACGACTCCCTGTTCTTGCAAATGGCTTCTATTTTGGATCACCTGTTTTTTTTCCATGGCATTCATCTACACCCCATCTTTTGCCTTCATCTCCAGAAGCCTTCCTGACCTGTAAAAGTCTGATCCTGCATACCTAGAGTATGAGTGCCAGACAAGGTTACCCTCCCAAAACCTCCACTGTAAAACATTACACATGAGAAAACATGTGGCATATGTTTTGAATTCTCAGGCCCAAATCGTATTGATTACACTCACAACTCTCTGGAGGCAAATTGCCTCAAGTTAAAAAATCACTGCTGACATCACTGTTGCATCCTGAGTCTTACATACAAAATAATGTCTAAGAGTAATTTTTTAAACTTCAGATATTTCATTTCCAAAACACACACTGTCTGCATCATGCTGGCACATGATCCCTATAAGATTTTAGCTACTCTGCTTCACTGCGTGCCGTATCACATACACCTGTTATTTGGCTGACACACCATCTGGGACCATTTCATGTGATCCAGCATAGTCATGTAACTTTTTCATATGGCTTCAGCCATGCTGACCTCATACTGCTAGTAGGGTGAGTACTGGATATAGGCACAACATATCGTCAACAGCACTGATGGCACTTTTCAGGAAGACCTGACAGGGAACAATATAAACCTCCTCCTAAGTGGCTTTTCTTATTTTCAGTTTCATGCAAGTTCCAAGAAGAATGGTCAGGATGCTGCATATCTTTTGATCATGGCTCAGCAAGTCTGAAGGCCAGTTTCCCACCCCCAGAACTGCTAGAGCCTATTTAAGGAAGAGCCACTTCATCTTTTTTTAAAATAAATTTCTTTTAGTGGTAGAAGAATCTAGAGATGCCACAAACACAACATCAGGCTTGCACGTGGCCTAAGGGTTCACACCTCTGCTTTAAATGCAACCATATACAGGCAGGGTAATTGCCTCAGTTGCTAGTTCTGTGCTATCTCTGCCTTCCCCAGTTCCCTGTATTTACTTTTCTCTTCTTATACTATTGTTGTAATGATGATAAATAATGATAGGTAGGCTGTGCCTTTGAGCAAGGCCAAAGAATGGCTACTGCAAAAGAATTCTTCTAAGCAGAGTGACAAAAGAATATTATACTCCACTTTCCAGGATAATAGGAGTTTTGCCACTAATGTCTGTAACAATCAAGGCCTTTGTCTGAAGGCAGTTTGTAGGTGGAAAGTGCTCAAGGATGAAAAATGAACAACTGTGAGCCATAATCTCTCAGTCAAAAGCAGGGCTATTGAGGGCACTCCACGCATATGGACTCTATATCACAAGGATTGCAGCTGAACATCTGAAGGGCTGCAATTCCTCAGCCACATCCCACACAAAGAAGAATGCAAGGAGGGGGAGTGTAGACCTTGTTCATGTATCCCTTCGTAACTGTTTAATATTTGGCAAACTTTAGTTCAAAGAAATCATCCATAGCCTCAAAATGTTGGGCTTTCTCAGTACTGAATCACAAGTGGATAAGGGCAGACCATTTCTCTAACATTTTTTGTTCAGGAGACATGGAAGTGATTACACTCCCTGAATCCACAACACGGGTGTACGCCATTAATTGACACACAAATGACTTATGACTGGGCAGGGAGCCACCTCTTTAACACTGGGATTGAGATGCTCCTCTGTCCTCATTCACAAGGCACTGTATATTGACAGCAATCTGAGAAACCAAGAAAAAGGACTGGTGAGCTTACTACCTTACCAGAAAGTTAGACTTCATCATCTTACACTAGAGATGAGCCATCACTTTAAGCTATAGGTACAGCGCAACAGGGTCTTGTAAAATATGTATCTTAATACTGGGATGGATGAAATATGGCTTCAGAATGTCTTTTTTGCTCCTTGTTTTCTGAGAGAAAAGGCAAACTGCTGTCCCAAGAAGTAGCAAAGACTGATGTTTCTCCTTTTAAAAAGGTATCATGGCTTTCCTGCACTGTCCTTCACTCCCCATAACTGGTTTTCAATACTGGAAGTTAACTTGCAGTCATAACTGGTTTAGAGTTTTTTGTAGGGCTTCCCCCTAATTTTTCAGGGAGCTGGCAGAAAATTGTCCCCTGGATGTTCTGAAGTTGCCCACCTCTACTTTTTTTTACTTCTGCATCCATATTTTCAAGTGTTACCATTAAATAGAAGGAGGGTATTAAGAGAATATGCAACTTGATGGATGATAAATACTAAATACTCAGGAAGGAAGCAGGTGGGAATGGGACAAAACACTTCGACACAAAGGTATGGGATTGGCTTATTAAGTAAACATTTTGTTTTGTCTTGCCCTTCTCCAGGTACCCAACATAGTATATAATTAAAATATATATGGTTACAGAAATTGACTCTGAGGGGCAACACATGTCCTATGAAACCTGAAAAAGTGTCACTTGAAATATAATGGGATCTTGATCTGAATTTCAATGTGTGTCCCACAGATTGGATTACATGGAGCTAGAGAGACACAGTACTGGAAACACAGGACCTATGTTGTACACGGTACCTATATTGCATTGTGTTTGTGGCAGTGCAACCCCTGACACCAGCTGACTCAGCTGGTGTGATGGCATGGAATGTCCATGAACTTTCTTGCCGTTCAAGGGATAAGGCTGTCAAAATACTTGTAATCCAGCTTCTAAAGGAAGGGAAAGTTGTCAGTTTGACAAGGATTAGAACATCAGACAGTTCTTAGGGATAGGAATATCTGTGTGAAAGAGGCTGAAGATTAGAAATAGGTGTCAGGAAGCAAGGAAGTCAAATGGCCTGAAGGCAATGTGTCTGACTGGAGGGTGTTATAGATAAGGCAGTCAACTAAGAAAAAGAAAGTTGGGATGTAATATGCAGTGGTTCCTATTTGTTGCTTGAATTCCTAGCTACATTTCAAGATACCTTTCTCTCTCTTTCTCTCTCTCTTTTTTAAGGAAGAAGGTTTATTGGGAAAGGGGGAAGAGAAAGAGGGGAAATTGTTTCTATGCTGCCTTTCAGCATAGGACCCTTCCAAAGTGGCTTAAAACTATACTTTAGTTTCATTGACAGCAAGGTTAACTTATCAAATGACTTAGAGCATAATACGCCTGCATCACTTCCACCCCAGTGACTTTCCTTTTGCCCACCTTTCTCCAATCCACTTCGCCAATTCTATCCAACAAAGTTGATCCCCTTGCTTATGCTTCTCCATTCCACACGTATACTTCATATCTTTTCTTGACTATCCTTCATTCTGTGAAATCTCACAGTATTTCAGCTCATTAGTGTGTGTGTGTGTTTGTGTGTGTGTGTGTGTATGTGTGTGTGTTTGAGAGAGAAAGAGAGAAGAACTATGGGATACTAGACACCACGTTGTAGAGGGACAGAGTACCAGAACGTAACGTCTGGCTTTCCAGATGATTTTGTTCTCCAGTTCCCATCTGTTTGAGCCCGTGTGGCTAACATTAGGGATCCAGGAACATCAGCATTAGATTTTTTTAAAAAGGAAACATCAAAGAAAAAAATGTGTGATAGAGCCATGGAGTGGATATTGTTTAGAGCTAGCCAGTCACTTCTTTGGAGGAAACATCTAGCTTTTTGATAGCAAATGTCCAGATTTAATAAAACTCATCACAAGTGGGTCATAAATAAACTCACCCTTTTCTTCTGGCAAGGTTCACAACCACTCCACGATGACCAACTGGAAATGACACAATCAATAGGCTGTGGTGGGCTGTCTGAAGATCGGCGCCATCTGCCTTTAGTCACATTGACTTCAAGTCCACTCAGTTGAAAGGGTGGAGCTGTTTCTTCACTACAAGTGAACAGGGGAATGTTATTTTTCATTAGGGTACAAATCAGTAATGTGAACACTGATTTGTTTGCTTGCTTGCTTCCTTGCTTGCTTGCTTGTCCTTTGTTGCTGTCATTGCACCAATCTGGGAAGGATCTCAGCCGGCGCTTCTCTGCCTTTCCACACAGCCAAGCACTCCAGTGAGAAGGTGGGATGGGAAGTCTCCCCAATCAGCTGATGAGTGCAGGGCAGTGGGGAAGTGCTGGCCAGGCTCCTTCCCAGATTGGTACCACAACGATGATGAAGGACCCCAGCCCGGCGTAGCAACTGGTGAGTGGACCAGCTGCTTCTGGCGGGATGGACTGGGCCTCTGTGACACCTGTAATGCTGCTGTTTGTATTTGTATCCCTAGGGATATGAATATCCATGTCAATTCAGGTTAGGTTTCATCTACTATGTCTAATTCTGGACACAACACTTAAAAATGAATGGCAACAATCAGGAGCAAATTCCGAGGAGGGCAACAGGGGACTGGAAACAAAGCTGTATCAGGAAAGACTGAAATAAATGGACTTGTTTAGCCTTGAGAAAAGAAGGCTGAGGTATGATATGATAGCACTTTTCAAATACTTGAAAGGTAGACATACAGAGGAAAGGCAGGATCTATTCCTGACCATTCCAGAGTGCAGGACATGTAGTAATGTGCTCAAGTTACAGGGAGACAGATTTAGGCTGAATATCAGGAAAAACCTCTTAACTGTTAAAGCAGTATGACAATGGAACCAATTACCTCAGCAAGTGATGAGAACTCCAGTGCTGGAGGCATTCAAGAGAAAATTGAACAACCTTCTGTCAGATCTGCTTTGATTTTGGTTCATGCATTGAGCAGGGGGTTGGACTCAATGGCCTTATACGCCCCTTCCAACTCAATTATTCTATGATTCAATTATTCTAAGTAACATGTATGCAACAAAAAGAGGTCTGTAAGAAGTAACTGAAACTCAGGAAACAGATGGGAGGAAACATGAAAAACATAAATGCTGGCTGTACAGTATGTTATTGTGGAAGTCATGCATAGCCATTGGCTAATCTGCCAATGAACTCCCAGAAGTACAAGCTGGATTT